ATAGTCGATTGATGTAGGGCACGTTACACTGTCGATTGGTACGCGACTGAGTGCGTCGGCAACTATGTTGTCCTTTCCACTGATGTGACGTATGTCGGTCGTGAATTCACTTATGAAAATAAGTTGTCTTGCTCTTCGTGGTGTTTCCGATAGTGATGGTTTCTTTGGAAGTACATATGTTAATGGTTTGTGGTCGGTAAAAACGATCAGGTTTCGACCCTCGGACGTTTTTCTGAAGTGCTTGATAGCCATGTAAATAGCGAGTAGCTCTCGGTCGAATGTACTGTAGTTACGTTGAGTATCGGAGAACTTCTTCGAAAAATATCCAAGTGGTTGCCATTTCCCATTGCTGTATTGTTGGAGAACTGCTCCTGCTGAGAGATCGGATGCGTCGCTGAAGATAGCAAGGGTTGCTTCGTGTGATGGGTGAGCGAGTAAAGCTGCATTTTGGATCGCAATTTTACAAGCTTCAAATGCCTTCGTGGCTTCATCGTTCCATTCGATTGACGTTTTATCTTTTTTCTTCGTGTTGTGAAGGTAGGCGTGAAGTGGTGCTTGGATTTCAGCGGCTTTAGGTATGTGTTCTCTGTAAAAATTTATCATCCCGAGAAAACGCCTTAGCTCTTCGATTGTTTTAGGTTTTGCATAATCGATGATTGCTCTGACTTTTTCGGCAGGCGGTTTTATTCCTTCCTTGCTGACGGTGAAACCAAGAAATTGAACTTCTTGCTGTCCAAATATGCATTTCGAAGGGTTGATTGTGATTCCGTTGTCTTCTAATCGCTGTAGCACGGTGCGTAGATGGGTTTCGTGCGTTTCTTTATCAGGGCTTGCAACAAGGAGATCATCAATAAATGCGAAAACGAAATCCAGTCCATGAAGTACTTCGTGTATGAATCTTTGGAAAGTTTGACCTCCGTTCTTTAATCCTGGGATCATTCTTGGGAATTCGAATAATCCCATTGGGGTAATTATTGCTGTCTTCTCTATGTCTTCATCGCGGACTCTTATTTGTTGGTAAGCTCGGTTGAGATCGATGGTGGAGAATATAGTCTTGTCTGATAGTTGATGAGTGAAATCCCTGACTCGCGGTATTGGGTAGCGGTCAGGAGTGGTAATAGAATTCAGTCTTCTGTAATCTCCACAAACTCGTAATTCTCCGTTCTTCTTCGGTACAATGTGAAGTGGTGATGACCAAGGGCTTTTGCTTGGACGGCATATTCCTTGCTCAATCATGTTTTCGAATTCCTTTCGAACTTGCTCGTATAGGTGTGGTGCGATTGGACGTGCACGACAATGAAGTGGTGGTCCATTGGTGTCGATGAAATGCTCAACGTCGTTCTTCGGTGTTAATTTCATTGAAGTTATTCTTGTGATACCAGGGTATTCTTCGAGGATCTTGTGATACGGTTGTTGCACATCTATGCTTCTTATTGTGGGCAGATTGTTTGCTTGTACAAAAGACTGAGATGCAAGATTGGTTTTCCCGTCGATGATTCTTCTATTTTTGATGTCGACGACCAACTGGTGATGTTGAAGAAAATCAGCACCGATGATTGGTTTGCTGACTTTAGCGACGATAAATCTCCATTTGAATGGTCGGCGTAGATTAAAATCAAGTTCCATTGTTTTTTCTCCATATGTAGGAATAACCGTATTGTTTGCTGCATAGAGTTGAAAATCTAGTGGCTTCAACTTCTGTCCTTGCTTCGGCGGTAACACTGAGATATTTGCTCCGGTGTCGATAAGGAAAGTAAGCTTGCTTTTTTTATCGGTGACGAAAAGACGGTAGGACTTTGCTGTTACGCTGGATCCCGTCGCATCGAGCGTACTAGTTAGTTTTCCGTATTCGTATTTTCATTTTTGAATGTACACGGTGCTGTGCATTTTCTTGCCTCGACCCCGAAACGTCGATGATAGTAGCAGTAAGGGGATCTTGATGTTGAGCTTATTCGACTTCTACTTGCAGAGCGGTTGCGACGAAAAGGTGATCTTCGGTGTTGCTGATTGCGCTGGTTGTACTGTTGCTGGTAAAAGGTATGATGCTGGGAAGCTTTGAGCGCGGCGACTTCGAATGATAGCTTCCAAATTTCTTCGAGAAGAAACTGGGTATCATTGGCCTTTGTTGAAGTGCCTTCAATGATCGATATGTGTGAGCTACTGCTGTTTTCGATCATCTTGTCCGCCAGGAGTGCCAGTTCGTCGAGCTTCGTTTGCATGCTGAATGTTTCGCTGACTGCTATTACCGATCGAATATGTGGTGGTAGGTGGTTTACCCACATTAGCCGTAGTGTTGAATCCGGAACTTTATCTCGCGCCAAAGTACGCATTTTGCGTAGGAGTTGTGTGGGTTTCTGGTCTCCAAGTTCTATTTCTGATAGAAGTTTTTGTAGCTGTCGACTGTCGGATTCTTCGTATGCGGAGATCAGACGATCCTTCAGTGAATTATACTGGTCGACTGCTGGTGGGTTGTACAACAGGTCCGCAATTTGTTCGATGTCTTGTTTCTCAAGTTGGGCTATCACCATCTGTGCTAATTGCGCTTGGCTCTTCTTTAAACCATTCGTTGCGGCTTCAAAACTGACGAACCAAAGTCGTGGTTTGTCTCTCCAAAACGGTGGTATTCTTAACGATAGAGATATACCGGCGATTTCTGGTTCTTTTACCGGGTTTGATGTATATGTGTTTGCCTCCTGCTCCATAATGATGGCTTGATTACACTGATTTTATATAAACTGAAGTCTTCCTTCTCGGTGTTCGTACGGGTTTCCTTCGCGGTGTTCGTGCAATAGTAGTGGTACGTCGCAGGGTGTTCCTTCTTGGTGTTCGTACCGGATCTTCCCCCCTCGGTGTTCGTACGGGGTCACCACTGTAATAGTGGAGACGAACTGTCCACTATTAACAGACTCCGAGTGGTTTTCTTTAAGGTGGAGAAATGAAACTACTGTTTATGTTTATGAATGTACTGTCGAATGGGATTCGGAATGGAATATCTTTTGCATCAACCTTGCCTATATTTATATGGCTGGCTCACTATTGATTTGCCAATGGTAACAATTAATATTTTGCCTAGCCAATTATATTGCTTATTTTATGACCAATGAAAACTATTTAAAATATACAATTATCTACGTTTCGTTTCCCGGCGTGAGACTTGTTTGTTGTTCACGAAGCTACGTCGCTGGACCGGGCTATATAAGACATGCAGATCGGTGCGCACGCGTAGTCGGCGGGCGGCGGCGGTGTGGAATACAGCTCCGGAACAGCAAGAGGAAACGAACTGCGGCGTTGAAGAAACGGCTCACCATTGGTCGACGGATACGTGACGATAGCGGGGTGTGAAGTCGGTGTGGCGCTGAATGATATTTGCGGCTGCTTCTTGTTTCTTTATAAGAACGTCAAATTATCTATATATAGTCCGCAGTATCCCAGTATCCAAGAATAATTAGGAAATAAAATGTTTTTTTATTTATTCTCGCCTTCCGCGTTATGGTAGCAGCGGAGTATATATTATTTATTCCCGTTTAGGTTTGATTAATCTGGCTGCTACACCCTCATTTCTCTTTACCTGCTAGAATCGGAAAAAGGCTAAGAAACGTTGTTTTAGATATCATATCGAGCTATTTTCCCTGGCTCATATCGCAGTGCAGCAATCCTCACAGCAACTAGCGCAATGGGGCCTTGCTGCACCGTGGTTGCAGCAAGGCCCCATTGCGCTACTTGCTTATCATCACCCCAGTTATCTAGTATAAATGTACAGTAAGATAAATACAGTCTACTTATCGAAGTTATTTATTTAGGAATTTCATCAGCGTTAGTAGAGCTTGATTTTCGATAAATATCATTGGAAACCTTGAAATCAAAACGCAATCTGATCTTAAAAACGACGATTAGTGTATCAACCAACGGCTGATAAACAAACTTGGGACCCACATTTTGGTCATATACATGTAAAATGCTATCACTAACTGCAATGAAATTAAATAAACATCGCATAACAGTCGTCATAAAGTCGCATAACGATGTAACAAAATATTTTTTTTGTTAATGAAATGTTATTTCTTTTAAATATACTACCGTTTCAACATGGTGTTCATCTGGTATTCTTCTTTTATCTTCTTTATCAGCCCTCCTTACAGGAACTTACAGTCCACCTGAAAACAAAAGCAGGTACTAACTACAAATCTTGAAAACTTGTAACTCACTTTAGCAAAGAAGGGGCTACAGAAGCGTCTTGGTCCTCAGGGGTGACAAAGCATCTCCAATTTATTTATTAATCGAGATTAAATTCGAATATTTATGTGTTGCAGCATCCATTTACCACCACTGTATAGTGGACGGTGTACTTGTTTGCCACCATAATTCTACAAATAATAATAATAAGGCGTGGGGAATTAACGATCCCATCGCCCGCTGACGTAACAGTTACGTGACAAAATTGCTACTTCGGTGCAGTCAGTCAGCGCCCTGCCAAGAGGTGTCAGCGCCGTGCCTTGGCAAAATTGAGGGTGCTAGATTCTGTATGTGCATATGACCGAACTACGAAACGGTGCCGGGCCTGGGTGTCTCCCGTTAATTGGCGCCCATAAAATTGATGATGGCACAAAGAGGAACGCGCATAGGGCTGCTGCCTAGAGATCAACAGGGTGCGTCTGGAGCTAGCGCTGGACTCAACAGCATGTAGGCCGCCAACCGAGCGTAAAGGGCTGCATGACCACCTCGTGCCCCTCACATCCACCATCCCCATTAGATGGCTTGGTGTCGGCAGAGTCCTCCCGTACTCAGCAATTGACTCTCTCTGGTGGAGTGCGCCGCGTACGTAGTACGAAGAAAATGAACTCAAACGCATTGCGGGCGCGCGGTGTGGGTATTTTAGGGCACATTGGCGAGAAGCTGGAGGTTTTGGGTAATGGGTTATAGGATGCATCGCTTTTTTTGCTGAGCTAGAGCCATATATTACCGACACCGAGCAAAATCTGGCAGACCGAGTTCGGTATATCATGCACTCAAAAATATATGATGACGCCATACTCGAACAGCTACGGCATGAGGCTGTTCCCTCGTCGAATGAAAATACCACGACAGAAAATGCAGCTATCCGAGTTGAAGAGCAATCCGCATATGTAGATGCCGCTCTAGATCTCCTTGTGGTTGACTCAGACGACGATGGAATAGTCGCCCAGGAACAAGAGCAAATGAGAAGCATATTGGAAGAGGAAATTATGGAAACGCGCTGTACGCCTCTCGAGGTTCGACCACGACGTCCCCGCATACCACTAAGCAAGCGGGATCGGGCTGTCGTGAGGGTTTTCAACTCAATGCTGGTGACCTATTTGGAATCTAGCCGGGACCCTTGCGAGACGGACTCAATTCTATTTGTCCCAGCACTGGCAGTATGCCGCATTATTAGCGCCAAGCTTCCCAGGGCTGGACGTGCTACTACACAAAGTAGCACCACCTGACTCTGAAGAAAAAGAATTGACCGTATCGCAATGGTAAGAGCCCTCATCAGCAGACTGATAAGCTTCAGGTCAGGCAATTACAGGCTTTGAATTGTGCGCACCGTTAGGATGGCGTTTACTGGGATTGCTGCATCCAGTGCCCTAATATGGGACAATAAAATCAATCAGGTATTACCCTCATAATGCTGGGGTTTTGGTGGGGAGTTTTAAATTCCTGCAAGTTATCAATGTATTGTTTAAATTGTGAAATCTGCTCATTAGCTTCAGTTAACTGTAATTGCAATGCAGCAATTAATCTGAGGGCTTCCTCATATTCTTTGCTGCATTGGTCAAACTCCTCGAATGTCCCCTGTAGCTCATCCCTTTTCTTTAAAATATCTGTATAATCTCTTTGTAACTTAACTATATCACTTTTCAACTGTGTGTTTTTCGAAATTATATTTATTATTCCCTTTTCGTATGTATTTTAAATTTTTGTTATATTGTATCCAAAGGGCATTGTAGACTCTCTGCTTATACCTGCAGTGTACCAAGAGTTGTGATCTCTGAGGAACTAAGTGGAAATACCTCACAGCATGTAGTTATACGTGCTCTGTAAAACAGGCCGGAACAGAGCAGTACACGCATTTGGCGGCGAACCAATAGGAAAGAGTGTAACAGCGCCACTGTCCACCGATAACAACCATAGCATTTGTTTTAGGAATAAACACCCACGTCATATGAATCCTCTGAAATTAACCGTAAATATCAAACCTCTTCCAATGTGCCAAAATAAAGTTCGAGGCTATTTGCCTAAACAACGTCGATTAAATCTATCCGACGTAACTTCGGTTACCTACCTATCACGGCTTCTGGAAATAGAGAAATATCTTACAAATGTGCGCTATTCTTTCTGACGTATTATTTTGTATTGAAACTCGGCATAGATTTACAAATTTTTTTCGGCATAGATTTAAAAATTAGAATTAGTTTCATCTTTTTTGATTGATGGTTCTAAACATCAAGAAAGATAAAACTAATTTTAAATACTATCTAATCGAATCTAATTCGAATTTTGAGCTGAATGCCCTTGTGGCAGATTGGCAACAGTGCGAAATATTTTACATTTACTTTACACTCAATATTGTACCTAATTTCCCTTCTTGAAATAAAGTTAGTTAATTAGGTAGTTGTTAGTAGGTATCAAAATTAAGTATATAAAGCAACGAGGTGTCTCTCCGCTCTATACAAGGCGTACGAGAGTGTGAAACTAATCGAGCATAGTTTGGAAAACAAATTTCTCATTACTGTCTGCAAAACTATTCATTACGTAATAATCGCGTTATATTTTGTGCTTACCGCTACCGTTACAAGCTTTCATGTACTACTCACCTATTTATATGTGCCTTAGTTGCCATGCTCGCCAGGCGAGCTGGCAACCCTATCTTTTAATTTTAATTGTTATTAAAAGGACGTTGCTGAATGGAAATCCATTATATAAAAGTTGCTGAAAATCCGAGTAATAAAATAAAATGCAATATCTTACCTAGTTTGAAAAGCATGTCCCGTTCTCCCTAAATAGCGTGCACTACCCCCGTCACCACAAATTCCAGCACCTCTAATTACTCCTATCACCACTATACCAGAAAGACAACAGTCAATAATACATGTTTCGTTCAGCTGAAGTAAAGTCTGCTGACCGCTAAGTGAGTGGCTTACGTGGATCTAAGCAAAATAATTTTTTACAACTTTAATCTCCAATTTTGTTTCCCACTGTAACCTACTTTGTAACTAGATGATATGGAATAGTGGACATTCTTACACCGCCTCTACATAGTCGATTTTTCCGTATAATAATGCTTCAGTACCCAATACGAACTAACGGCGTATAAAAAAAGGCTACCTCAAAAACGGTTACACGCGTAAAATACGTCTTAGACGGTGAAACACACGCGTAGGGTTTCTTAGTTAATACGCACTTAGATTTAAAAGGAACCCATATCTTATTAATTAAGCTCGAGTGACATTTATATATACTCATTAATACTTATTTTATTAATACCAATAAAAAAAATTTTACATCTACGTAACAGATAAATTTATCCAAAATCTTAGTACATAAGTTACTTAAGATATCTTTATGAACCCTTAATCAGGTGTAAGTAACATACCTAGTTCAGCTTGGAATCGGTCTTTCGCTCGCATGCATTAGAACCTATACGCGACCAGCACTCTTATCCTAGTTATTTGCGGCCGCATAGCATATTGTTCTCTTCCATTCTGCTCTATTAGCCGTCATCTCTTTACTCTCTCCGTTCCTACGCGTATCATCCCCCACATAGTCTATCCATCTTTATTATCATTAATTTTTATTCAGACAGGAAGGCGAAGGCTAGCTTGTATAGGATAAAGGCCCAGGGCTGTCTGAGCTTGCTTACCTGTAGATTGAGAGCCATGCTCGTTTCAATTAAGAAAGCACTAGTCTTATGTATGATCTAAGATATCAGATATACACTTTTATTAAAATGTAAGTTTTAATAAAAAGTGTATAGTGGAACTCCCAGAGAAAACTCGCTGAATGGACAGGTAATCTGTGAGGTCCGTAGCCTTTAATGGTATACCCATGAGTCAAAACTGGGCCTCGACGTAGACTTTGGGATATATGGGAAACGCCCCATATTCAAATTTAGTATGAATTTGGGTAGATTCACCCCTATCCCTTCCAGGCAGAATTTCTCGCCATACTTCAATGTGCAGATATCAATCAGCAAAAGTACTACGTCAACCATATTATTTATATAAACTCTGATAATCAAGCAACACTGCTAGCGCAGAGATAAAACTTAGTGAACTGAAGCTAGTTGGAGACTGCGTGAACCGCATAAACGCCCTGGGATGTAACAACAGAATCGTTTTAAGATGGGTTTCGGGTCGCGTGGGTATTGTTTCCGAGCTCGTAAGGGAGGGCTTAAAAAGTACACAATTTGGATCCGAGCCATTTTATGCAATCTCAAAAAGCCTAGCCCCATTAACCTTGAAACTTTATCACAAAAAATCACTTAAGATCTGGTATAATACTCAAAACATCAAAACATTCTATAATCTTAATCCGGGCTTATGAAAACGATATGAGGGTAAGAATAAACTGCGTATACTGGCAAGAGCCCTGACTGGACACTATTGTCTTAAAAAGCACAACAAAAACATCCTGGGACTAAGCAGCTCAAGGAAGTGCCGGTTCTGTTCCTTAACGGAAGAAACGCCTCTGCACATCCTAACTGATTGTGATCCTTAATACGCAAACGAAACACTCATCTGAGAAACTATGTACTTCGACCAGAAGAAGTAAAATTCCTCACGGCTAAGCAACTCCTTCTATTCATTCATTCATTCCCTAGACCTGCACAACTGCTCACACATAATAAAAAAATGCTCGGAGTTTCTCTGCGTGATAAACTTAGGAATGAGGATATCCGCAGTAGAACTAGAGAAACCGATATAGCCCATCGGATTAGTAAGCTGAAGTGGCAATGGGCCGGCCATATAGCTTGAAGAACCGACAACCTATGGGGATGAATGGTTTTCGAGTAGCAGCCTCCTACCGGTACCGGCGAAGTGTAGGGCGGCCCCCACTAGATGAAGTGACGACCTGGTAAGATATACAGGAAGTCGGTGGATGAAGGTGGCTCAGGACCGTGCTTTGTGGCATTCCTTGGGGGAGGCCTATGTTCATCAGTGGACTTATCAAGGGCTGTAATGATGATAATGATGTGTACAGATTCATTGGACTCAGGGCTCAGGGTTCGCGGGCTGTATTCATATTGATTGACACTGGATGAATACAAATCTGTACCAAAAACTTGAACGATAAGTCAAGCCGGAATCTTAAGTCCTCGGTACATACTTCTAATCATCCAGTGTATATAATATGAAGGTGCTTGTTGGCATTCCTTGGGAGATGCCGATGTTCAGCAATGGACTTGTGAAGGGCCATAATGATGATGACGATGATGATGATATAATATGAGTCAGAGCCGTCTATGTACAGAATGCACCCACAGCTATTTTCCGTTTTGAAGGGTAAAAGATTCAGTATAAACTACAGTCAGTATAGAGAGTCAGAAAGTGTGGGCTATATTACATTTTATCTTAGTTCTCAGGGCTTCCAGTTCAGTGTATTCAGTTCTAAGTTGATTGCAAATGGTTATGTACAATATTCACTTGCCGAATTCAATTAACTTCACTTGCCGAGCACATTAAACTTTCAACAATAATCGATATACCTACAATAGAGCAAGACTACTATATCACACCGTTCATAGATTCGTTGTTGAAAAACTAGATGGCAGTATCGGCAACAATGGTCATCTTGTTTTTATTTTGAAGTTTCATATTATATCTATGACAAAGCCAATGTTCTTAGTATTAGAAAATTATTTATTTACGAAAGTCTACGCCATTATCACAAAAAAAATGTTCCTTACTTGCCTAAATCATCTTCGAGGCTTGACCGTTGTCCTATTCCAAAAGTAAAAACAAGATTCACCCAGAAGCAGTTTGATTTTATTGTTCCTCACCTATATAACAGACTGAATAAGGAGTATAATGTAAAAAAGTGCAATAATAATGTTATTAAGAAGTATATTTTTTATAGCTTAAAAACCTTGATTATGACGATGTAGAAAACTTGTTAACTGGTTTTTATTACTGACACAAACAAAAAAAAAAAAAAAAAAAAAAAAAAAAAAACACACACAAAAAAACACAAACACACACACACACACACACACACACACACACACACACAAACACACACGCACGCACACATTAATACAACTACATACATAACAGATATGCGCTAGTGAGTAGCCCGTTCTTTACTAATTTTTGTTTTCTTGATTTAAGTAGTTCTGCTGAATAACTTATAATGTACCTTATCTTATGGCATAAATTAATAATGCAATGTTATGGGAGAAGCCACTGGCTCCTGAAACACAGTTTTACACTAGTTTAGGAGCCTA